ATTTCGAGGGATCCACAAATATTATCAACTACTAATATATATTTAATTTAATATAAATTGGATATAAACACTTACCGAACATGTTTTTAATCTTTTTAGGTCCAGATAGTGTTTTAGACCAACAATATTGTTTTCTAAATTAGACGACTAGTGATTGATAGGAATTTCTCTATTTATCTATGCTTTGGTTCTTCTTCAACCGCTAGACTTGCCTCATCCTAAGTACCAGCCTTCCTTGTCTTTGTATGGAGTATTTTCGAAGGACTAGGGGGTTATACCAAATCATATTAGATTGTTGAATTATTGGTCCGTCATTGATTTGAACCTCTTGAAATTTCACCTTTGTACTCTTTTTATGAGCTATTTAATGACTTGACTTTTTTGAGGATCGGTTGGACTTGAGAGCATCCGTTCATTAATCAATTTATTGAAATCACTTTCTCCCTCTTTTTTTAATTTCATAAATGTTATCTTGCTCCCTATTGACATCGATTTCTGCACAGGTAACATGACCAATAGATCTCTACTTCATTCACATCTACGCGATATATCTCCTACACACTTGGGCAAATTGTCAGAAGTGTGTGGCATTCTCCGAAGGTGGGGGAGGGCGACCTCGAGCGCTCCAAATGTCAAGTTAATCAAGTGTATTTGAGTATGGTATGTGCGAAAAATGTGAGACACAACGATTTTCAGGTAGCAGGGGTAATTAGAGAACAAATATGAGAGAACAAAATTATTATGAGTATGTAAAGTTTTATTATCTTCATATGGTACTAAATATGAGATTTTATAGTAGAAGATGTGTAATAATTACTGTTAGATGAAGAGACATGTGACCTCATCTGATGTTCGATGCGCCTTGTTATAGGGTTCATTCCATTAGTCCTACGCCTAGGGACGTTAAATGATTTTGAAAAGTAGTTGTCCTATGGCCTAAGCCTGGCATATGAAGAGTAGAGAGACAAGTTGACTTGATAGGATGAAAGGTGCAAATTATTACATCAATAAATCATAGAAGATCTTATACGGAAGATCTTTTGGGGAAGCCTCTATGTGCTTGAAACCCATTCTCTTCGAATTGTACTGCAGCGAATCATATCGCCTCACCTCGCGCATGGAGAATTCACCCCTACATGGTAACATGGGGTTCGACGTAATGCATCACTTCAACTAGTTAAGGGCCTCAAATAGGCCACGTAGGATAGTAATGGGGAGTGCGAGCCTAAATTTGCTTTTATGTGATTGTCAAGGGCCATTTTCTTGTGACAATAGTCCTCAAAGTCTCGGTATGAATATTTATATCTTGTGACAATGAGGTTGAAGTTGTAATCTTGTGGTGATTTTCCATTCGAGAAAATGATGCTTTGACGTGGAGTATTTTATCTTGGCTGAAGTTATACTGTTGAGGGTGACCCTTTTTAGCTGTGAACTATTGACATTGATTTTTACACGGATGACATGATAAATCAATCTCAGCTCCACTCATACCCACAACGTACATCTCCTACATCCTTGGACAAATTGTATAAGCACTTGACCTTTTTCGGAGATATGGGAGGATACCGTGAACATTTCGAGGATCAAGTCAATCAACTTTTATATTGTATTTGGGTGTGGGACATATGGAAGGTGTATGCCACAATGATGTTCCGCCACTAGGGGTAATGAGAGAACAAATATGGAAGGTCAATATTACTGTGAGTGTCCAAACATTACATTACTTTCTAATAATATTAAGTGTGAGTTTTTATAGTAAAAGATGTGAAATAATTATCATTGAATGAACAGACAAGTGGCCTCATCTTGATGGCTAATGCTCCTTTATCATAAGCGTGATCGCATTAGATCTAGGCTCAAGGGCATTAAATGATTCTAAAAAGTAGTTGCCCTACGATCTAGGCTTATCATACGAAGAGTAGACTGATAAGTTGACTTGAAAGGATGATTTTTGCAGAGAGGTCACATCAATCAATTATATAAGATCTTGTCTGAATGATCTTCTAGAGGGGTGTCTCTATCTGCCCGATGCCCATTCCTTGAGAATTAATGTTGCAGCGAATTGTATTGCCTCACTTCATCCATGGAGGGTTTGCCTCTGCATGGGGTTCTGATGGAGTGCATTACTTCGACTACTTAAGGATCTCGAATAGGCCAGATAGGATGGTGATGAGGAGTGTGTTTGAGTTTGCTTTTTATGTGACCATCACATGTCCGTTTCTTGCTGTCATGTGCGTAAAATAGGATATGTTAATAGTCAAACCTTCCACCTACTAACATTAAATCTTGAATACGAAATAGCCACTTTGGCACGTAATTATGATAGTATCCATGCCTTGATTTTTTTTTAGCTAGAATACTTGATCTTAAACTAAAATCTTAAGAAAAACTTGAATCTTGAAGAGAAACTTTGATCTTGGATTCTTAAATAAACTTCTCGAGGACAAATCCAAACACAGATTCTTGCTTCCGTTCTTCTTTCTTTTATTCTACTTCTAAAAGCCTGGCTGATTTTTGTCTGTGTTTCATGTGTGAAAAACGGGTAGAGGTCGAACGAATCAAAAAAAATATCACAAATTCATTAAACAATGTAACAATGAACCCGTCATTATCATAGACTAATGTTTAACATTATTGCAGTTGAATAACAATAATCATATATCCTATAAAAGTTCTAGAAATGGCATATATTTGCATCATAATTATGAAACCTTGAAATATAAAAAATTTGAAAAAACCAACTTCAGAACATCAGAACTTTTCACTTACATNGACATAATGGGTTTAGGGCACCTTTGATATGCCATATAAATAAAACATATTATTTGCAGGGCTCTAACCACTTGAAAAGTTCCAAAATTTACTAAGCCCTTGTTTGAGCCACATTATATTTCAAATAATGCATTTTTGAATATTGTATTAATAGAAAATGTGTGGTTAAAAAATAAAGAAAAGTCTTGAATTTGCGTGTAATATTATTATATTGAAGAATGTGTAGTTAAAATGATGTCAAATTACTGTTTAAAAATGTATTTTTTTGAAAAAATGTGGCTCAAACATAGCCTAAGATGAGAGTCATCAATGATTTCACTTATAGCCCAAAAAAAGGTTGAAGATCAAATAATGCACACATTGTGCCAGCTCAAAATATCTACTTAAGTGATAAGAATAATCAACACTAATTAATTAACTGCCCCAGGTGCAATGAAGTCGACTATTTTGGAAATATCTGATAATCAATATGTCTATTAAATAATTCACCCACCCACAGCTACCATCTATTAAATAATTCATCCACATTACTATCTATAAAATGCTTATGAAAAATGAAAATAGAAAGAAGAAAAAGTAATTTAGAATTATAAATAGAATTAATCAAGTAATAAACGATTACTCGAATGTAAAATAAACAATTATACAGAATTAGCAAAAATTAAGTACAATTTGGGTCAGATTGAAGCAGAAGACCAAGTAATTTATATACAATACAATATATTAAAAGTGGGGTTGGTGGAGAAACTTTTAAATATCAAATTTACCCCCTACATATTTAACTATATGTCCACTATACCCTCATATTTAATAAGTATTTATCGTTTGGTTTAGAATTAATATAATATAAGGAGCAAAATATTTAATTGATATTTATCATTTTGGATTAGCATTAATATAATGTCAAAAAATTCGCTCGACTCGAACCCTGCCCCCCAAGACCTAAATGGGGTAGTAATTCCTCGCCCCATCAATCGACAGATTGAGTTAGGGGTGGGGGACCAAAGACTAAATGATCACATGACGACAATCTATTATACTCAAGATCATTGAATGTTTAAGCTCTGATTACATTGGATGCTCGGAACAAGAAGCCCTGGCCCTAGCCCCAGCCCCAACCCCATTTAGTGTTATCGCCCTACCCTGTTGCTATCCCTTAGTAATAAATATTTACATTGACTATTACTACCGTAAAACCAATAGGTTGGTGACCACTCAGCTAAAATAATAGATTTGGGACCAAGTTGCAACGTACACCTTTAGTAGGTTTGGGAGCAAGGAATACAAATTGAGCAGGAGTGAAGCATCTATGCCTCACTATATAATGAGTTGAATAATTGAGTATTTGTAACTTGTAATTGCATAAAGAGATGGGGCTAACTGGTAAGTTGATTGCCCAAATAGAGTTCAAGCATGGAGGAGATGTATTACACGAACTTATTAAACACAAACCACACCACATATCCAACATGGTACCTCATTTAGTACAAGGTTGTGATCTCCATGAAGGGGAATTTGGAAAGGTTGGCTCCAAAATCTGCTGGACATACACTCATGGTATGTATATTGGTCATAAATGTATATACGTCTATGAACCTAATTTGAGCTTTTTTACTGTTTATATCTTTTCCCATTTTTTATGTTGCAAAAAAATTTTGGTCAACTACGTGAATCCATTTCTATCATCCCAGGCTATTCATTTATAGATCTAGGAAGAGATATATACATGTCATGTTGATTTTGGTTAACTCTTTTCTCTTTTAACTTGTTTTACACGATTGTGTTGCCCTCAACCATTAACTATATATATTCAACTCTATCTAAAAGGATTGACTTTGTTATATTTATTCTTAAATTTATCGAAAGATCTAAAGTAACTTGATCATTAACAATTTCAAATGACGTGTTTGATTTAGACGACCTCTCTTTCTTTTGATTTGGTTTACTGAGGTCTTGTCACTCTTAAGAACATTTCTCTACTCTACGTCAACCCTTAACTATATTTAGCTTGATCAATTATGAGTTTACAATTGAAGAAATTAATTTGTGTAAATGACAGAAGGAAAGGTAAAGAAAGGAAAACAGGTGATTGAAGCCGTAGAGGAGGAAAATAAATTAATCAAACTTAAGCTGCTTGAAGGAGATTTGATGGAGGAGTACAAGGACTTCATTGTAACTATTCATGTTGAAACCAAAGGTAACATAGATATGGTCTCGTGGACTTTGGAGTATGAGATGCGGAATGAAGACGTTTCACATCCAATTTCTTTGCTGGCTTACTTCATTGAACTCACAAAAGAAATTGAGGCTAATCATTGAAATATAAGTTTTTCTATATTGTGTACTCCAATAAGATGTGTGTGTGTGTTTGCACATGTGTGGTTGTGCCTGCAATGTGTAATTACGTGTTGCTTTTAAAAGTTTGTGATATAGCTAATTATGTATTGGTCTATCGGTAAGAAAATATTGGACAATGTCTTGTCTTGTTCAATACTTCTAGTCGACATGCATCCACTAGGTATTTTATGTTTAAATTGATAAGTTATACTTTTTAGATAATCTATTAGCGATCTAGTTGACGTAACCATAATTAGCTCATATTTCACATATTTGAGCTGTAAAATTTTATTTTTATTTTTAAATAATCCAGTTTGAGATGTTGAGAACAAAACTTAGATACTTCGTGTCTCTACACAATTTTAAATTTTAAATAAGATCTACCAAATTTAATAATCATGTAAATGAATGTTGAAAGTTAGGATATAAATATAAGTGAATGTAAAATATAGATCAGTCAAATTTATGTGTTATGATTACTTTTGAAGTTTTTTAGAATCAATTTTTAACCCGTCATTAAGAAATGTGAGAAGAATTAGTTTCTTAAATTCTACATATGCATGATGAAGAAATGCACCGATATCTTGCTTCCTTTATCACTTTTATTTTGAAGACTTTGGTCATCGTTTTCTTGAAAACTGAGTTGTTTGGCCCAGTATATAATTTCGTACATGGTTTTAAATTGTGGAATTTATCCATTGTTCTAAATTTTGTGATATATTACTTGCATAATCCGATAAAATTACTGCGCCCTGGATTAATTATTTAGCTATTTGTCGATATAATCAACGGGATGCATTCATACTTTTGAAATTTGGCTTATATCATTTTAAGTCATACTAATCCATTTGTTTTGCAAAAATTTTTACGATTTCGAGTCGATATTAATCCATTCATCTTTTAAAGTATTTAAGTGATAAATATGGGGAAAATTCAAGTTCTTTTTAATCTATGTTAAAGGAAACACAACTTGATTATGCTATTGAATGTTGTAAATTGATTGCTATGTAATTTCTTCCCATACATGTGCAAATTAGACTTGATTATAGGAATAGAATAAGGAGTAGAATAAGATCTTGATTGTGTTAGTGTTTGTATAAATAAGTGTCTTGCCTTTGTAATATAATCAATACAAAAAATTCTACTCAAATACAAAAAACTTTCATGGTATCAGAGCCTTATAATCTGGGCACCAGAATTCTATTTTAAAGCTCCAGTCGACTTCCATGGCAGACATAGTAGGAAGCACGGTCTTGAGTAAAATATGGGACTTTTCCAACCACCAACTATACCTTCACCATTCCAATCAGCTTGGCGCCATCCCTATGCCACAACCATTGGCCGAGGACAATTACAGCACATGGAGTCAATCCATGACTATGGCCTTAACGGTCAAAAAAGGTCAGGTTCGTAGACGGCTCAATCAAGGAGCCTGATGCGAGCGCTTCGGATGAACTGCAACAATGGAACCGTTGCAACAACTTGGTTAAAACTTGGCTACTGGGATCTATGTCCAAGGAGATTGCCAGTAGTGTTATCAATTGCAAGGATGCTAGAAGGATGTGGCTCGATTTGCAGGAGCGATTCTCAAATGTAAACGCCGTCCAATTATTTAATGTGGAGAATGAGATCCATGATTGTGTCCAAGAGAATATGACTGTAGGATCTTACTTTACGAAATTGAAGGGCTTATGGGATGAACGTGACAAATTAGCCACATTACCAACATGCACCTGTGAATTAGTGAAGGAAATGGCTGCATATATAGAAACACAGAAAACTATGAAATTCCTTATGGGACTTAATGAATCCTATGGAGGTGTTCGAAGCAATGTTCTGCTACAAGATCCATTGCTTACGTATTCATTAGTTCTTCGTCATGAGAAAAACTTGAAGGTTACGATAGGGAAAGGCCATAATCAACCGGAAGTGACTATTTTTGATGTCAAAAATTCCCATCGTGAACCTGAAGTTGAGAAGAGTGAAAAGAAATGCTCTAAGTGTAACAGAACCAATCACACCACCAAGAATTGTCGTGCCTACCTTAAATGTGATTTTTGCGGTTGGAAGGGGCATTCCATCGAGTATTGCAAGAAGAAAAGGGCAGCAAAATTTGAATTTAATACATCGGTTTCGAAAGGGAATCAGACCACATCTCACTTGACCAATAAGAGGGGGATGAATTTCCCTTTTTCAGCAAATGAGTGCTAGCAGATTCTCAACATGTTGAAAAACAAATCTTCTTCTGCCAATCAAGTGGGTAATTGCTCCGCTCATGATGAACTGTCAAGTAAAGCTTTCCCATTAATTTCTAATGGCACAAAAGCTACGTGGATTTTGGACAGTGGATGCACCGATCATATGGTTTGTAATCTTCACTTGCTCACCCATTCAAAACTCATTCATAACCACACTGTGGAATTACCAAATGGTTCTATGGCTCCAGTAACTCACATAGGCAAAGTTGTTTTATCTCCTCACTTAATTCTCGAAAATGTGTTATGTGTACCATATTTTCGATTAAATCTAATTTCTATTAGCAAGTTGGCTTCTCATTCATATTGTGTAACCATTTTTCTAAGCCAAGTTTGTTTCATTCAGGACCTACGCTCGAGGAAGACGATTGGGACAGGAATTGAACGGTAGGGCCTCTACTATCTGGACCAAACCAAGAAAGGATCATGCCATCATATCCAGACATCTAATCCGACCCTTTGGCACCAACGTCTTGGACACCCCTCGAATAAAGTATCTTCATTATTTCGTTTTCCTAATTTCACAATTACATCTTGTGCTACCGATCCATGCTTAATTTGTCCATTAGCCAAACAGACAAGGCTTCCTTTTTCTTCTAGTTCTATTAATTCTACAACGTGTTTGATTTAATTCATATTGACATTTGGGGTGGTTATAAAATTCCTTCGATTTCTGGCGCTAAGTATTTTCTCACCATTGTTGATGATCACACTTGATGCATTTGGACTTATCTCATGAAACACAAGTCAGACACTAAAAGCCTCCTAATGAAATTTATCAACAATGTTGAAAATCAATTCAATTCCAAGGTCAAAATTATTCGTAGTGACAATGCTGCCGAATTCAAACTGGAAAACTTTTATGCGAGTAAGGGTATAATCCATCAAATTAGCTGTATCAACACACCACAACAAAATGGCATCGTCAAGCGAAAACATAGACATTTATTAAATATGGCATGAGCTATTCTTATTCAAGCCGGTCTTCCTCATCAGTTTTGGGGGGACGCTATTCTCACTTCCACATATTTAATCAACCGAACACCCACTCCACTCTTTCAAGGAAAAACGTCATATGAGAAATTATTCCACAAAGTTCCAAGTTACTCACATTTACGAGTATTTGGTTGCTTATGTTTCATTTCCACTCATGCACAACACCCTTCAAAGTTTGATGCTCGAGCCTCTCAATGTATGTTCCTTGGCTATCCTTATGGTCGAAAGGACTATCGTGTCTTTGATCTAGTTCAAAACAAGGTCATGGTTTCGCGGGATGTTTCTTTCTTTGAAACCACATTCCCTATCAAAAATGGTTGCCAACCAGCTGCACCTTCCAGTCATCCCGACACATCACAATTCTCTCATCTCACTAATGCATCCACATTACCATTTGACATACCACCAATACCACCTCTCGTGCCTTCCTCTCCTTCCACGGAACCACCTCCATCTAAACATGATTCTCCTCATCCAACAAGTCCCAATCCACTCAATATTCCACTTGACATACTACCAGCCCAAACTACCCCAGACTCTCCTTCCTCACAAAACACGGCAGCCTCAATTCCTTTTTCTCCAAAAAATGTTCTCTCTCATCGTATACATCGACAGACCAAACCACCTACTTATTTACAGGATTTTCACATCGAGACGGCTCTTCCCTCAAGGATTGCTCCATCGTCATCCATGAATGTGGTCCGATCTTCAGGTACAAATCACTCTTTATCTCACTTTTTATCTTATGAAAACCTTTCTCCTGCTCATAGAATTTTTACCTCACAACTCACATTACTTAAAGATCCTAATAGTTTTTCAGAAGTTGTCCAATCTCCACAGTGGCGTGAGGCCATGCGGCAAGAAATAGCAGCTTTGCAAGCAAATGGTACTTGGAGTTTAGTCACTTTGCCCTCTCATAAGCGTCCCATTGGATACAATTGGGTGTATAAAATCAAATTGAGGGCTGATGGGACAATCGAGTGGCATAAAGCCCGGTTGGTGGCAAAGGGCTTCAGTCAAGTTGAAGGGGTTGATTATAGGGAGACCTTTGCTCCCATGGCCAAAATGGTGACTGTTTGTACTTTACTCACTGTGGCCGCTTTGCGTGGTTGGCATTTACATCAATTAGATGTCAACAATGCCTTTTTGCACGGAGATCTTGATGAAGAGGTATACATGTCCTTGCCTCCTGGTTTCGGACGAAAGGGGGAGACTCGTGTTTGCAAACTTCATAAATCACTATATGGTTTAAAACATGCTTCTAAGCAATGGTTTATAAAATTGTCCACTGCACTCAAGTACGTTGGCTTCCACCAATCTCGGTCTGATTATTCTTTATTCTTCCAGTGTCGTCAAGGTAGCTTCCTAGCCTTACTTGTATATGTTGATGATGTGATTTTGGCTGGAAACAATCTACAGAATATAGAGAACACCAAGCTCTTCTTGTCCAAACAATTTAAACTCAAAGACTTGGGGCAACTTAAATATTTCCTTAGCATAGAAGTTGCAAGATCAAGACATGGATACTTTATCACAGCGCAAATATGCCTTGGAAATCTGAGATGATACTGGATTCTTAGGTGCTAAGCCTTCTCGATTCCCTGTAGAGCAAAATATGTCACTCACACAATCAGATGGAAATCTCTTGGATGATATACAGAAGATTGGTTGGGAGGTTAATCTAGCTAAACATAACAAGGCCAAATTTGACTTTTGCTGTCCATGTATTGAGCCAGTTTATGGACAAACCATGAGAACCACACATGGAGGCGGCTCACAAAGTGCTCAAATATATCAAGCGAACACCAGGACAAGGCATCATCTTACCATCCACAGGTTCGCTTCAATTACGAGCATTTTGTGATGCAGATTGGGCTCGTTGCAAGGACACATGAAGATCAACTACAGGCTATTGTATTCTACTTGGCTAAGCACCAGTTTCTTGGAAGACCAAGAAACAAACTACAGTAT